AAAAAGCAAATCGGTTGACAAATAGAAGAGAAAAAGGTACTGAAAAATTTTGTCTTTGCCTATTTATACTCGTATATAGATATTTCAAATCCTTAAACACCGATAGGTATTTAAATATACTATTCACTATAGTAAATAACAACTTTTGTCATACGTTGCCAAAATTTGGAATAAGTAAGGCGTAAATTATAGAATACGTCGCGACGCCACGCGACGAATGTCTTTACGAGGGGACAATAGGCGGTGAGCATATTCTCTACCGGCAGCTCGCGGAAGTTCGACCGATAAATATTTATTCTGTGTATAGACTGTAGGTCTTTAGTATTATCGATCAAAAGTATCCACAGACGAAAAAGTAATTAGAATTGTTACTCCTTTAAAATCACCGGTAATAAAGATGCCATACACGAATATAATTCGTTAAGGACGTGCATTAAACATTAAAAAAATTGTTAATCGTTGATTTTTAAAATCTTGTCTGTCTCTTGTGTGTTTGCACATTACATGAAACAAATATAGGTATTCATAGTACACTCGTGTACACACAGTATTTATTGAATTAAAAAAAAAATGGACAGCATAAATTAGCAAAAGCCTAAATATATAAAATTTTAGTTTTTTTCATAATATGTGCGTGTATATCATTATTTTTGATTATAAAATTTTTTCTTCTTCTAATAGCACAAAGTAAAGAGTACAATGAAATTAGCAATATCAAAAATAACATGTTAGCAGTTATTTGTACAAATATCCCCTTAGAAATAGCTTAATCATTAATTTAGTACTCTACATTGACAAAACGCAAAACTTGACGCTACAATTAAAAGGAGATCATCAAAAGCAGCCCTTCGTTTGGGGATGAATCAATATTTTGCCCTTATTTCACCCCGCGGCGCTCCCATACACTTAATTTATTCATGTGTGAGTGAGGGAGTGCGATTTTTTTATAAAACCCTGTTAGTGTAGGTCAGCGAACTATCGATTTAAAACTAAACAATGCTTAATTTTGTTTAGAATTATTTGATAAAGACTATTTTCTTATTGTTAATTATTAATGCTTTTTTAATTTCAAATATGATTGTAAAGAAAATTTAACATAGTATTTGTCGTTGTTTATATTTTACTGTATGTTTTAACGATTGAAATCTAAGTTCAATACCTTTTTCTCCTCTGCTTATCAATCGATTTTTTCTGTTTAGTAGCTATTGAAGAGCTTTAGAGTTATCAATATAAAAAATTGGAAACAGTGTTGTGTATATATTAATATATTTCATTAACACATTTTCCCAAATTTTTGATTTCGACCAATGGGCGGATATTAGTACCAAAAATATAAGTACCTCTAAAATGTGTAAACAAGTAGAATAGGTATGTAATTTTAGTAGTTATATAAATAAAAATGGCTATGTGTTTCTAAGCGCAAAACTCTAGAACAACTGGACTAATTCGGCTATTTGGTTTATTCAATATTCGCTAAAATCCGAGGAAGTTTCTTATGAAGAGAAAAATTGGAAAAAATGCTCGGAAAAACGTAAAACACATTTTTTCTAATCGGGCCTGCTACACACTTGATTTGACAAAACGAGGTCTGCCGGGTCAGTTAGTTTTAAATAAACTAATATGGATAGTAGGTGATGATGTTCTCCTAGCCGTTTCCGGCCACGGCGGCCAATTTCATTGAAACTAGCCAACTGCGCAGGAGATATTATAGTGCACAAGTGTACGCGCAGACACAAGTGCACTCTCTATTCCTATCACTCTCATACTCCGGTGGGACGACTGCTCAACACGACCAGTGAGAGTTAAGGCGCAGGATCGACGGCTTTACATGCTCTCCGAGGCACGGGGGTGAAACACTGTCAACTTCCCAACTCCGGGCTGTTATTGAGACTTACTATACAGAAAAAGACTCATTAACTAAGCTTGACCCAACCCGGGACTCGAACCCAGGACCTCCGAGTGTACAGAGGAACATGCTAGCCACTACACCACCGAGGCAGTAAATGAATAAAAGAGGAAAGTAGGTAATTACAAAGGCATTATATAAACCTTTATTAGTTATGACAATTATTTTAATTGCTTTTCAAATATTTTTATTTAAATTTTAATAGAAATTATAAGATTATATTTTTTTCCTCCTAAAAGTAAGAAAACAGAAAAGAAAAAGGTATTCTTTTAAAATAAATATATAATATAGAGCCAATTTACATATCGCAGAAGTGTTTTACATAAAGATAAGGTTTATTTACTACAGCTTTAAAGCAAAGGTCTCCGTTTTAATTATCTAACTAAAATGTAAATCAAATCGCGTGACCTGCCCTAAGCCCTTAGTAATAATTCCGCGTGTACTATTTCCATAAGCATTTTCTGTGAAATAGAATAGAATTTTTGATAAAAGCCTAGACATTTATAAAGTACTAGCTGTACCCGCGGCTTCACCCGCGTTCAAACCTCCGATCGCTACCAAACAAATTGCCATGAAATTTCATCAAAATTGCTCGAGCCGTTGTAGAGTCCATAGGTAACACATCGATTTTTATATACATATTATATTTACGGCTAAGGTAGGTTAAAAATAATGTAAAATAATGCTTGTTCGAGCACGTGTACCCGCGCGACCCACAGCATTAGGTACATGTACATGCAGCATACTCGTAGCTCTGCTGCTCCCACTTTCAAATTTTATTAAAAAAAATCTAATATAACATAGCCTAAAGCATATCTGAAATCGTAAGGAATATTAAAAAAAAATTCATTGAAATATGTTGGTTAGTTTTTCAGTTAAATCCGTTCAAACATACCTACATACAAAGAATTTTATATAAATAGTATATAAAGTGTATAAAGTATACTAGTTTAGAAATAGATACAGATTAGGTAATTTTCGTTACACTTTTATCTACGTTAAGTTTATATATTATTTCGTTCATTGATTTCAATAAAGGCAGCGGAATGGCAATTTTTCCTTAGCTTAAGCTACATTTCTACATAATATAAGTCTAAGTAATGCTTTTTTAGATTTATTCGAATGTTTAATATTTCAAATGAAACTATATCTAAAATGAAAATAAAACTGCGACAAAAACCGGTATATCAAGTTTACTTAAATATAAGACCTTTATGATATAAACTTTTATATAATTTTTAAAAAACATTGTTTCTATTTTCTTAATAAGAAGTCTTAAATAATATTGTAAAAAACAACAATGATTAGAGAGCAAGCAATTTCATCTTGAAGTACTAATCCATTTGTTTCCCGTCTGTCACTTTGACGAGGCTGCTATAACGTAGCTTTGATATTTCATGGATTATAAGTAATTTAATTTGTAGTGTTTCAAAGTCATTGAAAAATATGTACATAATATTTATTTCTTTGTCAATTGTTTTTAATCGTTGTAAGTAGACTGCTTTGCCAATGTCATTTAGCGTGCGCACTCTGATCAAAATTCGACAATAATAATCTATACATATAATAAAATTCTGAGTCGAATCTGTACATTAAATATATTTTGGAATATCTTATTGAAATAGTCATTATTATCGAAACAGAAGCTGAATCTATAGTTTTTAGAATTTTTGTCTGTCTGTCTGTCTGTCTGGGAACGCAACACGAGAAAACCACAAGAATTGAATTGAATTGAACACCACTAGACAAACTTTGATGAAATTTGATATGATGATAGCTGATGATGGACCCGGATAGGGTCTAAATATAGGATACCTTTTAATGTGGGAAAATATTTCATCTCTGAGAAATCTATACTAAACGTTAAAATGTAAGTAGGGACGAGTCGCTAGTCATTACAAGAAAAAAATAACTGTTTCCAATTTTTTTTTATTGATAGCACTTAAACACCTTAATAGATACTAAACAAAAAAAAGAAAATTGGTTGACAAAGAGATTATATATATATATATATATATGCGTTACTTATTGTGGGTCAAATTTTCAAATTCATACAACTAAATAAATAAATGTTGGGACATTAACACACAGCACCATCTAGTTCTATGCTAAGTTACGAGGCTTGTGTTATGGATAACAGATAGTTAATACACTACACATATATAACTTTAAATAAATACATATTATAAATATAAACACCCATGACTGGAGTACAAATATTCGTGTTCATCACACATATGAATGCCCCCAGCGGGACTCGAACCCGCGACCGCAAGTATGGTCACTGTAAACTGAGCCAAACATGTCTTCATATTATGTATCTTATTAACTGAATAATTTATTCATACGTATAAAAAGGCTTGTCATGATTCCAGCTCCTAAAAATATTCGACTTTTCTCGCATTAAAAAAAATGCCACTAGGCCTATATTCTACATATTTTTTATTTTTTATTTAATCATTTATTTCAGGTAATATTTACAAAAAGATCTTAAATATGTAAATAGAGGCCCATAGCATACCTTAAAACTAACATATATATTATATATTAATCATAAATACATATGTAATTATGTACCTATATACAAGTTTAGGCAGTGGTAGCCCAGTGGTGACGCGCTCGCTTGGGAAACCGAGTGAAGCGGGTTCAAATTCCGGGTCTCGCACCTCTGATATTTTCATGTGCGAATCATTTTTAACATGATTACCACTTGCCTTACGGTAAAGGAAAACATCGTGAGAAAACCTGCATGTCTGAGAGAACCTAGCAAGTTTTCGAAAGACATGTGAAGTCTGCCAACCCGCATTTGGCCAGCGTGGTGGACTATGGCCTGATCCCCCTCATATTAAAGGGAGGCCCGTGCTCAGCAGTGGGACGTTAAGAAGGGCTGAATACATACATACATACATACAAGTTTCTAAAGTCCTATTTATTAAACGTTTTCGTTTTGTTGTTATTTCCCTGTAATATTTCGTAATTTTTGCTTCTTATATGTAGTAGATAGTAAATAAAGGAATCGTACATAGTTATTAACTTGAAATGTATCAAAGACGTTGCAAGTGTAGATAATTTTCTAGTTAAGATAACTCTAAACATGGATTCAAAGACGCGTTTACAAGTCGCGTCGCGTCGGCGGGAAGCTGTGCCAGATGTCGGTATAATAAAACAATGATTAAACTGAAAACGACTGAAGCAATTCATCTTCTACGTAACTATTTAACTTAAATTGTTGCTTTTTAAGGGAAATTACATGATAACAGAAATTAGATGCTATGAATAAATACATATGTTGGGACATTAACACACAGCACCATCTAGTTCCATGGTAAGCTACGAGGCTTGTGTTATGTATACCAGATAGTTGATACACTACACATATATAACTTTAAATAGGTACATACACATAATGAATATAAATATCCATGACTGGAGTTTAAATATTGGTGCTCATCACACAAATGAATGCAATGAAATGCAAATGAAATATCCCCAGCGGGACTCAAACCCGCGACCGCTGGCACAGCAACTAGGCCAAAACAACCTGACAAACAAACTGAGCCAAAGATGTCCTCCAATTTATATGGAGTTTGAATTCAATTAAAAAAAAAACAAAACAGCCATTAATAAAACTATATGTATATATGTATAAAATAGGTATAAAATATAAATGCAATATGTATACAAGTAAGTAATATACAAACATACAATGTAAGGTAATTTTCAAGTAGGAAACAAGCAACGCCTGACGCCGATAATAAAATCACCCACCTCGGACAGACGCCGAAATAGGGTGAGCTAGGGTTGCGAGATTAAAGCATTTTGAATTCGTAATTATTTCACCAACTTTAGCAATGGACGCCTTTACTTAGCTTTAACGTTTTCCGTCTCAGGTGTGCTTTGATAATTACTTTTACAGTATTCTAACACTTAATATTTCATAGCGGAAATTTAGTGGCTTTTCACTTTATGTTCATGAATGTTTACATAAATAACTCGTGACCCAACATGCCTACGCCTAGTTAAGTTACATACATACATACATATTATGTATATACACGCAATTAAATTGTGTTTCTAATTCAATATCGTTGAAACTTTTCGTACTAAGACCAAGAAATTTCAAATTATCGCTTACGTTTAAAACAGAAAGACATACATATATGAGAGACGATGACGAAGAATCAAAAAACTTTGGCGCCGATGATGATGATGAATGTGATGTTCATTTCGTACCAGACTTTGATGATAATGGTCTTACATTGGCGCTCACAGCGAAACGTTTTTCGTGTCTGGGGCGATGTTTCACGCCGCTTTCATAATATTACATATTCAGACTATTAATATTCAAAATTTTAGCTTTTCTAAAATGACGTAGGTCTGGGGGCTCTGGGATCTGGGACTATGAGAGAAAATATTGAATAGCTTATATGGACTTATTTCTTAATGATGCTGTCTTTAGTTAGATATGTGGAACTTTGGTATGTGCTATATATTGTACGAGCTAACTTGCGGTGCATTTTCATCAAAATTGTTCATCTTCAAAAATTGGGTGTATGAAATATGAATAGGGAAGTTAAACGTCATCTTCGTGACGTAAATAATAAGGAAATAAATTATAAGTAAAATATTAGAAAATGTAAAGTGACTTGAATGTTCTATAGGAAAAATAACTTTAATTATAAAAGCTTACAATGAAAGATACATGAGGACATGATAGGATATTATATAGCATGTTTTCTTTGATATCGCTTATACAATCGATAACAACTGCCCTACGCAGTTGCGTGTCGAATTCACTTTACTTAATACGGTCAAAATTATAGCTTATTTCACAATACATTACAGAGGGGACTCAATAGATTCCTAGAAATCGGGGATATTCTTAAACTTCGCACAAAATCGAGTCCTCTCTATAGAAACATGGTCTGTATAAAAGGATATCATAATTATTTATATATGTGTATTTCTTTTAGAAGAAGATATTGTAACGATTTTGTAGTATGGGGCAAGCTTTCGACAGTAAATTTTATGCCGAATATCGGATTTTTTTCCGCACTTGTTAAACTAGGTTGTGTGTAACTTGGGTCTATCTGCAAAAATGTAAGGAAAAATAGATAAATTAACCAGTTTGAAATAAAATAGTAGAAATTGCCTAACAAGGCTATTTATTGAATTGATATAGTTGTATGCTATAGGTACATAGCTAAACATTTTAGCCAGACAAGCTTTATGTAGCGATTTACACTCCCCTACGTACGTTTTAAATAGATGTATGTAAATAGTTATTGCGAGTCTACCTTAGGAGATAGACATATGCTTTTGCGGACTTTCTTGTAGGCTTTCTTAAGACCTATATTTTTGTACCTTACAACTCAGTATTACATTGCTTTGATGTATCTCTTACGGTTTAGCCAGAGTTAGCCATGTAAATTTCTAAATGACTCAATAGAATCAGTTATTGCCGTGGAAATGAAAGATTTTTCTATGATAAAAGATATTATAAATGTTGACTCGAATAATAAGATGCTACTACAGATAATTTTGTTAAAATCGGCTCTATATGCACACAGATATACAGACAAACATACATATAGACAAATAGATAAAAAAATCAATAACTATTGTCTTGGTGTCTATATTCTGTACACAATATGTAACCAGTCACTGTTTTTAAAAAAAACTTTCATGTACAGATTTCGCTATGTTACTATTTTATTATATGTACATATGTGTAGATATACCTACAGATATGCGTTGATAGTAGATACATACTAGTAGTAGATAATATTTCAGCTAAGATAGATAAGTTATTCCTATTCGTTTAAGATAAAGCTCGTGGTAATCGTCAACCAGGACGAATTGCCTATGTCTTGGGGGAAAGTGACAAGAAACACATAAATGTTCCCACGGAGCTACTAACTTTATATACAAACTAGCATTGCATTGGGCTTCGCCCGCGTTCAGATGACCAAAAACCAAATTCTTAGGGTTTACTTATTAGTATACTCTTACATTGCAGTTTTTGTATTTTTTTCTCAGAAATGAGACATTTTCCCGCGGTAAAAAGTATCCTCTATCTTAACCCGGATAGCCAGCTACCAACATACCAAATTTCATAAAAATCCCTCCAGTGTTTTTCCCGTGATGCAGTAACAGACAGACAGACAAAAATTCTAAAAACTATAGATTCGGTCTCTGTATCGATAATAATGTCTATTTCAATAAGATTTTCCAAAAAATATTTAATGTACAGATTCGGCTTAGTTACAATTTTATTATTTGTATAGATATAATAAAATAGTAACAAAGCGAAATACAACAACAAAACAATAGTTATTGAAGAATTTTTGTCTGTTTGTCTGTATATCTGTGTGAGTTTCATGCAAAAACTACTACACGGATTTTAACGTAATTTTGTGTAGTGATAACTTATTACTCGGGTCAATATTTAGGATAGCCTTTACTACAGGGAAGTCTCTTATTTTCTCTTATTTTTACGGGAAAACACATTAATTGGTTCGTCAGAGTTACCCTTGAAACAAAAATTTTGATGATTTATTACACAAAAACTTTTTCTAGCAGGATTGTAAATTAACAAATTTAGTGCGATAAAATCTCTCATTTTGACGGAAAAATACTAAATTTAACACACACACACACAGTATGAAACAAAGTCGCTGTCTGTCTCTGTTTCTCCACTTGCTTTTTCTAAGAAACGCAACGGATTTTGATACAGTTTTCACCAAAGAAGATTTGTGTATAAAATTTGTAAATGTTTTGTAAAATGGTTGATGTGTCTTTCTCCTAAAAATCGTTCGCAATAATTATAATTTTTACGCACCAAGCGAAGCAAGTGTGAGCAATATAATATACATATTTACAAAAACATGCACTTGTAATATAAAATATTTACAAAATACTTCACAATTACAGTAATAAAATGAAATAATTAAGCATTTAAAAAAAGTCAATTTTGAAAGTACGTACAAAAGTGATCGTTCATTAATATGAAATCAAGCGCACCCCTAGCTGTGCCCGGCTGACGGCTCCCACCCTCGCAAGTCGCGAGTTCTCGACTCCAACTTTATTATACACCCCTTATGCCTAAAATACGAAAAGCAACACTAGAAATTAGAATGTGCTTAATTCTTTTATTGCGTATGCGAAATTCAAACAGATTTTCCGTTTCAACAATTTTGCGAGAAGGTTTTAAATATTTATCTTATAAATATCGTTTGTGTTATCGAATATTTGTTTGGATGTTGTTTGAGATGTAGCAAGAGTTTAAATGATTATTATCTGATCCTGATCTGTTTAAATGATTTTTTTGGTGCAAATAGAACCCTATTACTAAGCCTCCGCTGTCCGCCCGTCCATCTGTCAGAGGGCTGTAACTCATGAACCATGATAGGTAGAATGTTGTAATTTCCACAGAGTATGTATTTCTTTCTATTGCTGCTATAACAACAAATAGTAAAAATAAAAATATTTTTTTATTTAATAAATATTTTTTTAACGTTCGTAATCGATCATCGAAGTTAACATACTACATACATAGAGTAAAAGTCATACTAATAAAAAGTACATGTAAGATGGTACAGAACCCTTCGTGTGCGAAATTAATAAATAAATAACCTCAGGATACACACGCTCTATATCTGACCGACTTCAAAGGACTATTCTCTCACAATATTCATTCCCTTGACTATAAAGCATAAATATTTTGTCTCATTACAATTAATCAAATCTAGTAGAAACACATCAAAATATTCTCTGTTTAAATTAATAATTAATTATTGAGGCAAAACAAAATGGCGTCGGTAGGTATAGTTGCTATAGCCTAATTAGGAATGTTCTTTGATGTATAAATAATTAATCAAGCGTATGTTAGGTTAAAGTGAACGATCATTGCCTCTAATATTATAACTCGTATTTTACAATTAAGATAGTCGTAGTCCAGTGGTAACGCACTTACTTTGAAAGACATTTTTGAAAGACATGTTTTCCTACCCACACTTGGATAGCATGGCCTATGGCCTGGCCCCCTCGTACTGAATGGAGGGCTCGTGCCCAGCAGTGGGAAGGTGAAGAGGACCAAATATATAGGTACATATATTAATAATAATTATAATATACGAGTATAAGCTTTCGCATGTGATATTTTTCCTATAGTGAGTAGTTTAATAAAAATAACTTATGTGTTGTATGTGAAAAAAATAGAAACTACTTAATAGTTAAGTGAAAGAAAAGTTATTTTAGAAAAGAATTCTTACTGAGGCTGAATCTAGTTTTTAGAATTTTTGTCTGTCTGTCTGGGAACGCATCGCGAGAAGACTACTGGACAGATTTTAATGAAATTTGGTTTGGGAACAAAGGTTGTTGTTCTCAAAGTACACAAAGCTTTTTGAAGAAGATCTATACCTATGTATATAAATGAATCATTAAGTTATCACTCAAAAAGATTTTATTGTTAACGTTTTCGGCGAAGGGCGCTCGGTGCGATTTTAAAAGAGCCAACGTTCGGGTGTATTAATTTATTATGAGAATACGATTGAATATCGGTGTTTCTTTTAAAAATGTAAATTTTAATACCTATTACACTTCTTTGGTACAGTGGTATAGGATAAAGTTTTGTACTGGTTTTACAGACATTTTTTTTAAAGAAATTGTTCTATCTAGTACCCATTGCTACGAACATACTGATATCTACATATCCTATCTACATCGATAAAAACTATCCTATGTCCTTTCCAGGGTCTCAAACTATCTCCATACCTTTCATCTAAAATAGTTTAGCGAATTAAGCGTGAAAATGTAACAGACAGGCAGACAGACTTACTTTCGCATTTATAATATTAGTATGGATTAATAGGAAAATGTGAAAATATTATTATAACAAATAAGATGCTTTTCAAAAACCATTTGAACTTTGGTTTACTTATTCGATAAAGTGCACTGCAGGGCTTTCAATCCATCTCCGGTCTTACTACGACTACATTGATTTTATCGAATGCCATATACCTAAGTAGTTACATCACAGTTACACTGACACATATGTAGGATCTTTTATATTTATAGCTATTAGATATCACATTTTATATAATAATCATTTTCATTTTGAAAGACACAGGTATCCGGTATACTTATTATAAAAGTTATTTTTATTATAAGCAAACTGTATTTAAAAAATGTATACAATATAAATTGAACCCCTCCAAGAGATATAGGGTATATCGACTTCATTATGAATATTCCCCAAGTGGTCTTTAGGAAATAGCGAATGATTTGAATTCGCGGCGACACAAATATTTAAATA